GTTTTTTAAAGAAAAAAAAATGGCCCTCAAAGTAAAAAGGCCCCCCCCCCCCCCCAAGTAATTGGATGCTATATATGGAAAGTAAATATATTTTTTAAAAATTTTCCAGGTCTAGAATCTAAGTAGGGTTTTCTTGAATCACCCCTTCCCACTCCTCACACTGCTACAGCAGGGGAACCAGTTGCTGGGGCAGGGGTCAGGTGGCCCCCTACCCCCACATCTCTAGTTTCTGCCTCATCCCCCCAACAAAATCCTCCCAGTCTCTGCCCAACTACTTCCTGCAGTTTCTGCCTTTTTCACTCCCTGCCCCTTACATTCTGATCCTGCTTGAGCTGCTCTGGCCTGGAGCATAGCACGTGGAAGGCTCAGTTCTTGACTGCCCTTACAGCAGTGTCAGTGTTGCCAATTGGCTGGTTAGGGGAATGAGGTTCCATGCATTCTGTGCCCAGGAGAGACAATAAGGGGGAGGGAAGAAGATGGGCAGGGGGCAGAAGCTTCAGAGCAGACCAGAGGTGGAGGAGGAGGCAGGAGGCTGCTGTGGGTCTGGTCTGGCTCGGCCTCAGCCTGGGCTCAGGGCCCGAGTCAGAGCTGCAACAGCCGCCTGCTGTCCCCTTGGCTTGACATGCAAATATAAACTGAAGGGCTTTTTCCCCATGCTGATTGGGAGGGGTTGTCTTATATTTGAGTAAATATGGTAATTGGTATTGACAGTGAATGAGACCTGTGCTTGTACACTCATCCACTATGCAAGGCAAAATATACCTTGACAGTAGTGAACTTAGTGACTTTTAACAATTAACTTTGAGGTTGCTTGTCCTCTCAATAGTTGTCACAATCATTTTTTGCCTTTTTTAATTGTGAACTTACCTTTTCACAATGTTTAAAGACATTGTATAAGAAATTTGGACCTCAAGGATATACAGGTTCCCCTCGCTTTATGCGGGTTCTTATGCGATGACCCTGTTTATACTAAAAATTCATGATATTATGCTATTGGTGTGGTGGAAGCCTGCAGTCAGCTGCTTTGTATGGTGCATTTTGGGAGTGGGGCACACCAAAATATAGTCTCCTGTGTGGATCTGTGCTCCTCGCTCGTTGTCTGCAACTTGTTTCTGTAGGTGTCATCCCCATTATGATAGTGTTCTGTGCTTGTGTGTACTGTCTGCTGTTGGTGAAAATTGTCTTGTAAAAGTGGTAGAAAGTGGGGGTCAGTACAGTTGAGGTCTTGGAACGTATCCCTGTTTGTTACATTGTAAAGTGGGTTCCTTTTATGAGAATTCGAGTTATGCACCGTTTTCCAGGAATGCATGTACAGCATAAAGCAAGGGAAACCTGTGTAGTAATAGGAGAGTACCCAATCTCTTTACAAAGCCATGGCAGGTTTCTTGTCATATTTTTTTTAGTTTTAGCCTTCATATGTTTCATGCAATCTTTATTTTATTTTTCAGATGACGATGTGGACCTAGAAGCTTTGGTAAACGACATGAACTCCTCATTTGAAAGCTTGTACACTACCTGTAGTATGCAGTCAGAAACCACTCCACTTCTTCAAAACGGTCAATTTAATCGCAGCCAATTGCCATCCTCAGGAACAAGTTCGCTTCACCCTATGTCTCCAAGGCAGAAGGTGCAGAGATCTCAGCCAGTACGCATTATGGCAGTGAGGTATGGAAAGGGGGAGAGACAAAGGGACTTCCATTTATTAAAACTAGTTTCTAACAAATGCGGTGTGGGGGAAAGGTTCCATCTTATGACTTGACACCTAACAGCTGCTTAGCATGCCAAGGAATGAAATCCTTGATGTTGTTTATTTATTTATTTATTGAATGGGGCAGAATAGGTAAAATAGAGGTGGACAGGGCATGCGATTTGGTGCATTGTTTGTGTGCCTCACTTACAAGCCACTTCATTAATATAGGTTTGCTTAAGTAACATCCTGTTTGGGATTTATTTTACTTCCTTCATCTATGTGTACTGTCAGTTGTAATATCTGCTCAGAATAATTTCCTAGTTCCTTAGGAATGTTTTAATGACCACTCTGATCACATAGATGCCTCAGTCAAGGGTATGTTTATAACGCTGTGGCAGGGCACTGTTTGTGGCTGCCACTTTAAGGGCCTGAAGACAGCAGCGGGCAGGTGCCTGATTAGGGCAGCCATTCTGGATTCAGGGCTTTCCATATAAACGGGGCATTTTGCTGCTGGAAGGCCAGGCAACAACATCGCCTGGCTGCTAGAGCTGCTGGTATCACTCTGGAGGTAAGGGAGGAGCTGTAGGGGATGGTCAGGAGGCTCCTGGTCCTGGGCATGACCTAAAACTGCACCCTGCCGGGAGTGGGTGACTTGGTGGGGCTCTCAGGAGCATGGGAGCCCACAGGAAATGCCAGGCAAGTTACCACCCTGGTGAAAGGTGGGTTGGGGCACCTTAACCCCAGCTCCCACAACCGGGTGGGTTACCCCCTTGTAGGGTCTGGAAGGTGGACCCCAGAGAGAGAGTGGGACATAGAATCAAACCTGTCTTGACATCCCCTGACTGGTCCTTGCTGGGGCCAGGACTGGCAGGGTCGAAGGGCCAGGGGCCCACCACAACAGATGCCCGGAGCTGAGGGCCTGGGGTTCTGACTGGCCTGGAGCTGGGCCAGGGTCAGTAGAGCCAAAGGTCCAAGGGGGACCACATCTGTAAGGGGGAAGCAGCTCAGGGAGCTATGCAGCTGGGAATGAAGGCAGGTTAGGGCACCAGAATGGGGGGATCTTAGAGGGGTCATGATCGGAGAAGTCTGGGGCCCAGCATGGGGCCAGTGATTGTAAAAACTATGGATGCCATCTGCGAGGCTTGGGCTGCGGTGTAGGGGAAGAACAGAGCTGCAGATAGCACTCCCTGGCATTGGGGCAAGAAATGGGCAGTCTCCTGCTTGATTAATATCAATTAATTAACAACAAGGCATGGCAGGTGAGAAGGCAGGCGGTCAGCCCAGAAACAGGGGGACGGGCCACAGGAAAACCGGCCCCGAGAAGGCCCCCTGTTGCAAACGCCCAAAATAAAACCACAGTTGGTCTTCACAAATTTTCAGAGCTTTAGATCAATATAAGAGTCTTCATAAAACTCCAAGTTAAACATACTAAGTAGTGTTCCATTATCAATACCACACCTCCAGGCATTTTTCAGCTCCTACAACAGTGGCAGTAAGCTAGTCCATGACAAGTAGACAAGTGAATATTTCACTCTTCTCAGTGTGAAACTAATGCAAGCTTGCATTAAAAACAAACCTTACAAATACTGACTGCACATAGTTCTCCAAAATCCTCTTCTAAAAAAAATCTTACCAATTCACTTTTCCATCTGTCTAGTTACTGACTAGACTTCCAAAATAAATGGGAAATTCTGGCTTTCTAAAACTTATTCTGAGCTATCTTTCTTTTTTTTTTTTTCCTCCAATTGATACCCTTGAAAACACAACAAAAAATCTTTCTTTAAGCAGCATTCCTGCTTTTCTATTTTAACAGATAACGGAGTAAATGTGATAAAAGCAAATCAACTATTTAATGTATTGATGTTTTCCGAAGTGCTTTGTTTTTTGCAGTGCAACTTTTACAACATGCATGTTGTAAAGAAAGGGTTGGCAATGTATGACCCACAGACCTCATGGATTTGGTTTGTGGAGCCTCGTGGCTTTGTCCGTGCCTGCTCTGGGCTTCAGCAGTGAGGAGCTGTGTGCTGTGGCAAGGGAACTAGAAGCTTTGCGTCCAACACTGCCACTTCTCTCCTTTCTCCTCAAGGCTGCAGTGCTAAAACAGCTCCTATCTGGAACAGAGCTTCACTGGGAGGTGGGAGTGGGGGAAGGAAGGCAGGGAGAAGTGGCAGCAGCATAGAGTTAGTTTCCAGATTCCCAACACTGGTACAGCTACTCTCCAAGAGGATGCTGTGCTCACAATGCAGCCATTGAGCAGGGGGCTGGGGGAGAAGCAACAGCAGCGCAGGCACCATTCACAGCTGTGTGGTTCTAGCAGAGCACAGGGAAATCTGACATACCACCTTGGCTTGAAACCAAGTTGCTGGTCTCTGCTCTAGAGACTTTCTCCATCTTGCTGTAGTTCATCATGGTCTGCAGAGGTCCTTTTTTAAATTGTGCATGGCATTCTGAAGCATAGCAAGGTTATTGGAAAATTTTTCCTGTCCCAATTCTGCACTTTCCTAAGTGCTAATATATCATGTTTGTCTTCAATGGAAACAGTGGCAGAACTAGCTTCATCTTGGGGTAATGACCATTCTTCTTGCTTCACCAAAACAGAATGGGAGGTGGTATCAGGTTGTTTTTGGAACGCAGCATTGAATATTATTATGGCCTGAATGATAGTGTTGCCCCTGGGTGGGGGTCAGGGCCAAGTCTAAACAACAGGGCCCTATGCAGTCCAGCTATGTAGAGTAGGCAGTATTTTCTGCTGCTTCCCGAAGAAAGTGGAACAGAGGTGACTTAAGCCATAGGCGATGGCTGAAGCTGGGTCAAAAGATGACAAATTCCTAGGAAGTAGATGGGTGGGAGGGTTGCTAGTTGTGTGTCATCTTCTACTTGGGTGGAGCCAGGTATGACTGTTACATCCGCACTGAAAACTGTTGAAGGTTTGTCACTAGATGGCACGTTATGCAAAGCAGCTGCAGAGCTAACTTGCCCTCATCCTATGCATCCTTGGTGTTGGAACACTAACGAGGAGGCTTGACAAAGTAGTCAATCATGGATAATCATCCTGTACTTTGTTAAACGTCCTCAATAACTAAGAGGTTTGAAGAGAGGTAGAAGGAAACTCTTAAATGACAGCATACCATAAGCTATGGGCTTTGTTTGGTCTCCCAAGGGATCACAAAATCACTTCACTTGACGTGGCTCTCAACTCAACTTGCTCAAGCTGCATCTCTGCTATAAAGTTACTGCTGCAGTTAACACTTAAAAGTAAAGCATCTCTTAGCTGTGCTACTGTAGTTAAGTCTGTCTTTTCATTTGGGACAAACAACTGTTGAGCTGCTTTGAATGTTTTATTTGTATCATGGTGGGGGTATTGGCACCAATCACCATACCCTGATCTTTTTAGGTACACATAGCATTTAAGGTCATGTATAATTTGGCTTCCAAATTATGTCAACATTCTTTCTCGTGCATTCATTCCATTTGAGCAACCTTTAACAAACTGCATTGTGGCTGGAGAATATCAGTCCTCACTACGTAGGGTGTAGGCCTGAATTTTGAAACAGAAGGTGTATTTCATCTGTGTGCAGTTACCTCAGTTTTGCACACAAATTGAATTATAAGTAACAAAACAAGCTTAGATGTCTGACTGGTAATTTTACATGTGCATGTAGTCTCAGTAATTCCACTAAAAAAATCCACCTTTGTTTACCTCAAGTGTGTTTGATTCACATTTCTTAAATTATATGATCCACTGTGCATAACGGGCATCAGATTTAGCCAGGAGAGCCAAATTTTCCTTTTAATACCCAGTTTGTGTTTTTGTAGACGTCTACAAGAAGAAGAGCAACAGTTCAGAACGTCATCCTTGCCTGCCATACCAAATCCGTTTCCAGAGCTCTGCAGTCCTACAAGCTCTCCAGTGCTGACCCCTGGGTCTTTACCTCAAAGTCAACCTGCTATTAAGCATGTGAGTAATGAGCAGAGCTTCATGTCACAGATTTTTTTACAAGCTGATGGTTGATTATTTTTAATTTCAGTTTGAAAGGCAGAAGGAAAAACATCAAAAATACTAGAAATATTTATATATCTTGTCCTTGAGCAGGGTAACACAGAAAAGAGAATAATTTCTGCAACCAGATTTCAAAGCTTTAAAAGGTTCGTAAGTATAAAGTGTTATCAGCAGCTCTTTCAGTTAATGAAGGATGTTTGTAGTGAATGAAGCAATAATGTTTAATATCCTCGTTTGAATTTCATTATGCCAGGCAATGACTCATTTAATTCAGAAGTCTGGATAATTTGCTTGGAGTTAGAGCAGTAATTGGGTAAATTACACTGCATATTTTAGGAGCCACAGTAGTGCTTACTACCTGTTGCTGATTAAAATTCAGGGTTGCTATAAATAGCTGCCTATATTCTTTAGAGATATTTTATCATCTTTATTGGTTTTACTGCATTTCATAAAGCTGCACAAAAAGCAAAGTAATCTTCTTAAAACCATAGCTGAGGAGATGGGACTAATGAGCAGAATGAACATGGGGAAAGCTGACTTGAACAGCTTTTGGAGTTCTTTACAATGGAAATTGAACAGATTGGGCCCACAGCACAGCTCTCATGATGTATAAGATGATGAGCATGTAGGTGGTGTCCTTTTAAAATATCTTTTTTTCCCTTCTTTTCTGCTATTCTTCACCCTTTACTGAGCATCATTTCACCACCTCTATTTCAAGAGTGCTCTGGGACTAATAATGGAGGCTAAAATTGAGCCAGAAAAACCTGAACAATTTGAGGGAGACTAACATAATTTATCCTTTTATGCTAACATATTTTCATTTGTGTTTGGTGCAAATATGATTTGCCCTTGGAACTACAAGGTGTGGAATGTTACATTACCTCACTTAGCTGTATTAGTTTGTCTAGAACAGTTCTGCAAACTGAAATTTAAACAGCTCCTCACAGCTGCCTGCATTAGTAATACAAGGGCTAACTTGAAATAAAGATTCCCAACTGGTCTCCACACAGTAATGAGTCCTGTAATGAGACTTTAGCAGGAGTCTGATCTGAGAGCTAAGTACTGTGCTGTCATACAGTGCTTAGAGAGGTTAGAGAGCCAGGATGCCTTTGGTGCTAGGGAATGATTTCTGTATCCAAGCAGACAACAATAAGCAATTCTCTTGTTACTGCACTTGATGGCAGAATAACTTTGCTGCCTTTCTTCCAATCTTGAGGGCATGTAATGAAAGAGACTGCAGAAATCTGGAGACTTCAATTACTCCTTCCTTTTTCCCTCCCTGCCTCCGTCCATTCCTTTGTTTTGCACTTTAGGGGTCAGCAACTTTTTGTAGATTCAATTTTTTTAATAAAATAGAATAAAGTGCAGTCAGTAAGGTAACTGAAGCTTAAAAGTCCTAATTGAATGTTGTATTTCTAACATCATAAAGATAAAGCAAATTAAGAATCTGAATAAAAGTAGCTTGAATAAATTTTCATAGATATGCTGTAATTTCCTAGATTGCAAAAGAAAGGGACAGCTTTAGCGTGAAGGTTACGTATTCATACTTTAACGGTTACCAGCCAATGAGAATCAGCCTTTAAGAAAGTATGTAAGGTACAAATGCAAAACGGTTTTGTTTTGCATTTAACTTAACCAGCGTTTTTTGCATGCTAGTTTAAATAGGACTTAAAATGTGCAGTTTAAACCAGTACACCCTAGATTGCCTGGGATGAGACAAAGTACAAGGGAAAAGTAATACTTTCTATGCCAGTTGAGCCTGTAGGTGTAATGGATTAGAGGCTAGTCTGTCAAAGTAGTTAACTGCTACATAGATACCTGTCCCTTGAGACCTGTAGTGGAACATTAAATAGTTTATAAATCAAAGGCTACAGCAAAGTCTTAAAGTTACTGACACATAAAAATTGTAACAAGTGTCCCACAGATGAAAGGCTCCATTTTGCATTACCAAGCTATAGGAACCAGTTGTTCCCCTTTATGCTGTGGCAGTAGGCTTGAGGGGTTTTGTTCTCACTTACACTTTAAAAAAAATGAATTAGACATCTCAGATTGTGTTCGTAATAGCTGATAGATGAAAGTGCTGGTTACTGATTAAAGCTGCCCAGCCTGTAATAGCTAGAGAATTTTTGTCTTCACTTGCCACAGAAGTATTAGGAAGTATATAGGGCAGTTACATGTTCTGCTAATCTTATGAAATAGAAGCACTTGACAAAATATATGGAACTTTATTTGCAGTGTTGCTCTATGTAAACCAAAGATTAGATTTCTGCCCCAAGTATCTGGTAGTTGGAAGCAACTTTGTAGGGGAGTCAAAATATTATGTAAAAAGCACAGAGTTTTTTCAGCTTAATGCTTGTAAAGGAACTTTGTTTGAAACCATCACTGCAACTGAAACCTACAGATTTCTTGTGTACTTTGTGTCATGTACATAGAAAAACTACCGTTTTGTTCGAGTTGCTGCTGCTTGATTCAAGAATTACTTTAAGACATCACTAATGCACTGGTCTAGGGTTGCTATGCATATTCTCTGCCCTGTTCCAGAAGGGTGCAATATTTTTTAAATTTTAAGTAGGGCAGTATCTAGCATTGACTTCACCTGTGGCTGCCTTTGTTTTCATGACAGAAAAGTGTAGTGCACACTTAACATTTCAGTGGTACGTCAGGGAGAAAAATAACCAAAGTGGAAAGAAACCTGAAGCCATCACTCACTGTTTCCCTCTTTACAATACATTGTTTTCTCTTTTTTCTTGAAGGTGAATGACTATATTTGCTTTCCTCTAAAAATGTATGTATATGCCATTAAGATAAGCTTGTATACAAATGTGTGTGTGGTATGAAATAAGTGGGACATCTGATCACAGCAAGTCCTCTAAAGAATACAATTCAAAATGCATCTAGATCTTAAAAAAAGGAAACTTAGACTTTCTGCATTTCAGCAAGAGAGACTAGATATGAAAATATGTAAATGCATAACTATACCAGGTTTAAAAGTGACAGACAGGAAGCTGAATTAAGGGATGTCACAACTGATACCAGATTGTGGAGTTTCTACATGAACCTATATGATAAATGCATGACTTTAGCAATCCCATGTCATGCAGCTTTCATGATGGAACTGAGACTAGGTGAAAGGGCAATTTGAAGTGCTGTCATCAAGTCTGGTGCACTGTTAAAAGAGAGATAAGGTCAGGGAAAGCTCATTCTAGTGTGATCAGACATCTGATGCATCAAGGAAATTAGGAACAAGTAACAGGACTAATGTGCTCTTGCAGTGAGTTGCCAGCTGTGATGTCAGGCTGAACAGATGCAACAGGGGTTGATTTAGTAAACAGTGTGTTTGGAGATGTTGGTAGGTGGGCCATACAACAATACAGATAGGTAGAAGAGGTCGGCCACAGAACCAGAAGGATCTGAAAACCCTTGGTGTAGTGGTTGAGACCCCCAGTGCATCTGATAATATAATTATGGTTCTTCAAAGACACTTGCTAAAATAGTTGCTGAATCCCTAGGTGTTGTCTTAAAATTGTGACCTGATGGAACTACTGAGTGAAAAGCTATGCTATCCTTAGGTTTAGACAGTAAGTTCTGACATCTTTGGAGAGGCGTACATGAAGCAGGGCCAGCCCTTCACTTTCCACCCTGTGCATTTCTTTTTTGTAAGAGCATTTGCAGCCCCTTCTAAGTATAAAGCTAGTATGAAACTGCACATATATAAGTGCTCCTAGCTTGTGTTGGGTGCTTGGAGTGGGTGGGGGGGGGGAAGGAGTGGTAAGAGAGATGTATCTAGCTCTTTGCCCTCCCCCCCAATTTAGGGAGGACACTAATTACAGGATGGGAGTAAAGACCGCTAAAAGATTTTAAATATCCTTTGCTTAACTGGATAAATATGTTTATCTAAGAAAAATTATAACCAGAAAATAAACCAAACCAAGACCAAACATTTATATATAAGATTGCTAAAAACATCAGACAGATAGATTGCCACTAATTGAAGTCCATCTCTGTGTTGCTGGTATAAACCAAAAACTTGTTGGTAACTTAGGTTATAATTTCTGGTTGTGTACAAATATTTTGGAAGAAGTATGCAATAATTACATGTAGGTCACTGCAGTGCCACAGGATATTAGTCTAAAGTATCTTGTGCGAGTCAATGAAGCTTTCAACTGTAAAAATAGGGCAAATTTCTCACATCCCTCTCTATACAGCCCAGGCAAACTTCCAGGCAGCAGTTGATGTACCTAAGTTATTTACTCTTTTATATCAAATTTAACTCACAAATGGTTATAAATTAATATCCACCTTTATTCCAGATTTAGTTACCCTTTAAGAGTAAACAAACTTTCTAGTTCTAATTAGTTTAATTACATATTGGTGAACAGATTTTCTAAATTATCGTCCCATAAATGCTTTATACTTTCCCTGTTTTGAAGGCAGGGGTGCTGGTTCCTGAAAGACCAACAGTATAAAATTATGCACATTTAGGGTAATGCTTGGTTGATGTGCAAAATTAGCCCTCATTCCATATGTAAAAGTTGCATTTAAGTAACACTAGCACAGTGTTACTTTAGTCAAATGACAAGTGCTGGCAACAGGTTGAGTCAACATCCAAACAAAGGCTTTTATTTTAACCTTTGCCTTCTAACAGGATACTCTGTAGGGGTCTCAGTGTGCAGCCTCTTGCCCCTTTGCCAGGCTTCCCTAGCTGAGTTTCTGAAGTCCCAGTCACAGAATCTGCACCAGTGGTTAAATTTTAGAAACCTTTAGCTTTCTTGTGTATTTTTTTTAACACTGGCTGCAAATTTGCAAGAGCCAAAATAAGCTCCCAGAACTTCAGCTGTACACTTACGAGTCTCATAAGACAAAGTGCATAGTTTCCTACCCCTGGTGTCTTGTTTTTTTTCTACCTATTAGGTTGTTGCAATGATAGAGTGGGAAGAATTGGGAAAGTCAGATGTCCC